GTTGTTGTTGTTGTTGTTGTTGTTGTTGTTGTTGTTGTTTCCTTATTTCATTTGGCTGTCTGTATTTTTTGAGTTTTGGGAATCGTTTCAGGTTTATTTTTAAAGGAAATAGGAAATAAATGCTTTATGCTTTTCAATTTAATACCCCGCTCTAATCCCATAGTTGGGGTCTCTGAGCGGCTTACAAGTTTTTCTTGGTGCTAATCACCGTTTCTGTTCCTAACTACGGGCACAATGTATATAGGGGAGGGACATCCTACCAGCACCCCCTCTGTGGTGGCATGAGATGGGCACCAGAGTAGAAGGCTTTTGAAAGGATTTGTGGAGAGATTGTTTATAATTAGAGAAATAATAGTTGCATGTGCCGAAGGACAGTTATCTGCAGAGGGCTGGTAGCTTTGTGGTCTCTTTTGGATATCCCTAAAAATGTCTGTCTGTCTGTCTGTCTGTCTGTCTGTCTGTCTGTCTGTCTGTCTGTCTGTCTGTCTGTCTGTCTGTCTGTCTGTCTGTCTGTCTGTCTGTCTGTCTGTCTGTCTGTCTGTCTGTCTGTCTGTCTGTCTGTCTGTCTGAATAACTAGAAGGATTTCTTTTCCTCTCCAGCAAGGGTTAAAAAAGGTAAAGGTTCCCTTGCTCGAAAGCCAGTCACGGAACGCTGTTACCTTCCCACCGAAGTGGTACCTACTTATCTACTTGCAATTTCTTGCTTTCGAACTGCTAGGTTGGCAGGAGCTGGAACTAGAGACGGGAGCTCACTCCGTCATGCGGCACCCTCGGGTCTCGAACTGCTGAACTACCAACCTTGCACAGCCTGCAGTTCAGCGTCTTAACCACTTGAGCCACCGCAGCTCCCCAGCAAGGGTTGGGAACATGCAAAGTTTTCCTATACTGAGTAGCCAAACTCACTGTGGGCTACTCTAAATGGCACCTGTTCATCATGGTGTAAGGGACCTTCTCAACAGCTGATGCTGGAAACAGAGCAGCCCGATGTTGAATCTGGGCCTATCTCTCTGTGTGTGTTGTATAGGGTTCCCAAGTACTTACCGCGATCCGGCGGGGGAAACATGCTCCCCGGCCGGACCATTCCTCCCTGTAACGCACCATGCTGTCGCCCGGAAGTGACGCTGGGCGACGCTCTGGCAATGGGGCTGAAAACTCGATGGTACCATTGAGTTTCCAGCCCCATTGCCAGAGTGTCACCCGGCGTCACTTCCTGGCAATGGCATGGTGCGGCATGTCTGTTATACCTGCAGGAATGATCCTGCGAAGACGTCTGTGTCCCCTGCCGAATCACAGAAAGTACTAGGGAAGCCTGGTGTTGTACCACTGAGCAATGACCCCTCTGCACTTTTCAAGTTCTTAGAAATAGGAAGAAATTGAGTCCACAAGGGGGGGAAATTATGCAGGCTGAAGCTTTATTGGGGAAAAAGGAGAGTGACAGCATTTGCACTGAAACAGTTCCATGAATGACAAATATGTATTCTTTACTAAGAAAAAAAAGTAGCTTTTCCACTGCCAAGTTAGCTAGAATAACTTAAAGGTTTCAAAGCAAATGAATACAGAGATAGACGTATGTCACTGTTTAGGCAGGAAGACCATTGTGGGCCCTTTTGGAGGCCTACAGAAGGAAGATATAGATACACTTCTGGTCTCCTAATCAACATAAGTTAAGGAAAATTAAATAAAGCTTAGAGGGGAAAGGGGGGGAAATCTTTCAAGGTGAGAGTAGAGAGAATACAAAGTCATTATCACGTTTGTGGTCATGAGCTTTCGAAAACTTGTTAAACACCAACTGATCCTAACTGAAGAGAAGAAGAGAGAGGTTGAATTTATATGCCACCCTTCACTACCCGAAGGAGTCTCAGAGTGGCTTACAATCTCCTTCCTCTCCCCCTCCCCACAGCAGACACCCTGTGAGGTAGGTGGGGCTGAGAGAGCTCTTTCAAGAACTGCCTGAGAGAGAAGAGCTCTGAAAGAACTTGTGACTGACCCAAGGTCACACCAGCAGTGGCACGTGGAGGAGTGGGGAATCCAACCTGGTTCTCCCAGATCAAAGCCCGCGCTCTTAACCACTACGCCAGACTGGCTCTAGGAAGTGCCGTTCGGTCTGACAACCAAGTCCGCAAAGTTGTCCGCCATCAGTTCGTTCCATACTTTTCAGGTAGCCGTTTCGTTCCCGTTCCTGTGAAGGTCACCTTTCCGTCTTAACAGGAAGAACCGCAGATGCGACCGCAAGGGGGACAGCCGGCACAGGCAGTGTACCCTCCCACACGGAGAGGCTCACAGGAGGCAGAGAGGACAGGCCCCGGGACCACAACCACAAAAGGAGGTGGCTGCATGACGATCTCCGATGGTGGGATTTGGTTGACACATGCGACATGGGCCCCGCTGGTGATCCCGAGGCAACGGGCTGATGTTGCGTTCCCGCAGCCTGAAGTGGCACAGCATGAATTGTAGCAGGAATCCAGTTTCCCCAGACCACCGACAGGGTAGCTACATGGATTGCAGCAGGGTTGGGAGCAACAAGGTTGGGAGCAACAAGGTTGGGGGCAGGACGGGACGGCACAGGAGGGAGCACAGCAGGAAGACATCTTGGAAAAGGCGGAGGGAAGGTCTGGAATTACAGTACGAAAGGATGAGAAATGTCAATGTGGAAGGCTGAAGAATAAACCGGTGCAAGATACACACATAAGCATTCCTCCCAGGGAGTAAACCCAGTTTATCTCAGTGAGACATTGGGGGTGAACAACTTGGTGAGATAGAGAGGAAGAGATTGGATTCATACACCAGCCTTCACTCCCCGAAGGAGCCTCAGAGTGGCTTACAGTCTCCTTTCCCTTCCCCTCCCTGCAACAAACACCCTGTGAGGTAGGTGGGGCTGAGAGAGCTCTCTCAAGGACTGCTTGTGAGAGAACAGCTCTGAGAGAACTTGTGAATGACCTAGGGTCACACCAGCAGCTGTATGTGGAGGAATCGATCTACCATTGACCCTGAATGACCTGGATTTATATCCCATCTTTCACTCAGAGTCTCAGAATGGTTTACAATTTCTTTTCTTTCCTCTCCCCACAACAGATACCCTGTGAGGTAGGTGGGGCTGAGAGAGCTCTTTTGAGAACTGCCCCTGAGAGAACAGCTCTGAAAGAACTTATGACTGTCCCAAGGTGACACCAGCAGCTGCATGTGAAGAAGCGGGGAACCAAACCCTGTTCTCCCAGATTAGCATCTGCATGCCTAACCACTACACCAAACTATACCAAGCTCCTAACCCCTGCACCAAATGATACATTATTTCCTCCATTTATTATGTCTTGACCTAATACATTTAAGCTAACCTCATGAGTTGAACTTTAGGTGATTTTCAGATTGCAAAATGCAAGAGTAAATGAGATATAAAATATTGCCCAAAAGATTTTTTTTTATTTTAAAAAAACCAGACATAACTTTTTCGATATATGTTCAGCAAAGCTAGATTTGAATCCAGTGTCACCTTGGAAACCAAGATTGGGGGGTGGGGGGTTAAGCTTTTGAGAGACAAAGCTTCCTTCATCAGAGACAGGTAGCAAAGTCACTATGATTTCACTCTGCAGTGGAGACAAAACTTAAACTTTCCTAACGTGGCCTATAGAACTTAAGCTTAGCTAGGGTTGCCAATTCTGAGTGTAGAACATAAGAACGTAAGAGACGCCAATGTTGGATCAAGCCAAAGGCCCATCCAGTCCAACACTCTGTGTCACACAATGGCCAGAAATACCAGTGCCATCAGGAGGTCTACCAGTGGGGCCAGGAAATTAGAAGCCCTCCCACTGTTGACCCCCCTGTTCTGCAGATTTGGTAATAGTTCATACGGAAAGTAGAGATAGGGCCATTTTCTCCTGGATAAATGAACTCTGTTGTCTGGAGATGAGTTGAGATTCCTGGAGGTAGCCAGGACCCACCAGAGGCTTACTATCCTAAAATGAACTGAATAATTAATTAATTAATTAATTCGATTTTTATTCCACCCTCCCCATAAATGGGCTCAGGGTGGGTCACAAAATCACACAGTCTCAACAATAATAGTTAAATAACTAAAGCAACACTTTAAAACAATAATAGAAACAGCAGTCAAGCTCCGTGTTGCTATACTCAGTTTAGGCTGATCATAGGGCCAGCAATTTCAGTAGGGGAGGCCAGAGATGGATTTTGGATGCCCCCTGTCTCAACCAAAAGCCTAGATCTCCAACAACAACATCCATGACAAAAAATAATGAAGAGTCAATGAAGATAAGTTGCAAAAAACATTTACTGAAGTATTTCTGTAATTCTGTAAGGAATATCCTTCTGTCATCACTCATACGCTAATGAATACTGCGCAAAGTGATCATTTGTTTCACAATATTTACTTTATCTGAGTGTGTAGCAATCCCAATTCTTATCAAATACTACTTCTCTACTCTTGCTGGAAACATTCCATGTTGACTAATAACAGGACCCAAGGTCTTCACAATGGGATTGCTACATTCTCAGATCAAGTAAATATTGCAAAACAAATGTTCACACTGCGCAGTATTCGTTAGTGTGTGAACAACGACAGATGGATATTCCTTACAGAATTACAGAAATTCTTCAGTAAATGTTTTTGCAACTTATCTTTATTGACTCATTGCTATTTTTATCACGGATGTTGTTTTTGGAGTTCTACCTCTTCCCGTGATCTCTCATTTTTGGCTTCAACCAAAAGCCTGGCAGAACAGCTCTGTTTCACAGGCCCTGCAAAATTGTACTAAATCCTGCAAGGCCATGATCTCAAAGGGGAGCTGAGGCTGAGGCCAGCGAAGAAAAAGCCCTGGCCCTGATTAAGGCTAGTTTGACATCCTTTGGGCTGGGGACAACCAGTAAATGTTGGTAAACCAGTAAAATTGATATGTGGGACTTCCATTTTGCTCCTCATTCATGAAGCGGTCTCAGACAGGCTTTGGAAAGGCAGCATACACATTTTCTCCATACATTCCTCCATTAACACCTGTACATTTCCCAGTCAGCCACCTGCACTTCTTCTATGTGAACACTGAGAGGCCGCGGTCAGACGTGCCGTTTGGTGCAGAGGGGAAGTGAGCCTCTTTCCCCTGGTGGAAAATGACATGGCGCCGCAAGATAACACATCCTTTGTAGCTGCGGGCTCAGCCACTCACTGCCCAATCCGACGGCACATTCTGGCAAGTGGGTTTTTTTTTTTGCCTTTTGTTTCCCATGCGCATAAACAAGGAATCACACCTTCACTCTGAGGGTTCCCCATGGAGTATGCGGTTATGCACATACTGCTAAGCGAGGGGGGGACAGCACCAAGTTGGGATGGAATGAGCTGACCAGCCCGACAGCTTGAGTGCGTACTTGGGCAATCAGACAGGGGAAAGTTTATCAGTGGCCCGTTGGCAAGCATTAGGACTGGACTTTCCCCAGTGTCTTTTAACTCCACTCCCGTGGCAGGGCAGCACGTGGTGCTGACAGCTGTGAGACCTCTCCCAGATGTTGCTGTCTGAATGTGGCCTTTAGATCTGTCAGGCATTCACAGCAGAGTCATCTAGTGGTACATCTGACCACAGCCAGAGATGAGAAATGCCACTGATCACATCGAAATCTTCAATGCCACGGATCACATCAACGTTTCAATGTGAATACAGAGATGAGAAATGCCACTGATCACATCAAAACATTTTTTTCCAAAAGAAGAACTTCCTAAACTTGCTTCCTGGCTTTCTGTCTTATTTTCTTATGATAATATACTTACCAAGAGCAGCAGGAGAAGAGAAGCAAGCAAGCGAAGCTGAGCAGAGCTGTGGAGAGGGTTGCAGGTGTTGCAAGCTTTTATACCATCTCGGGGGAATGTCAAAGATATGACTCATTTCTGATTGCACAGTTTGTTACCTTTTTTCTAAGCTCCCCGTGGCATTTTGTAAGTTGTTTATCCTGATATTATAGGGTGAGCATATTTTACCCTGCAGTCTTCCTTCATTATACTCTATTATAGGACTTTGTCAGGAGTTCGAAACAATTATACTTGAATCAGATCAGAAACGAACCTGTGGAATCACCTGGCTGACAAGAGTGGAGGCAAATCACCTGCTTTGACTGGAATGAAGAAATGTGAATATCCCAATATCATTGTTTGGCCCTCCTCTATGATCCATTGCCCACTTCATTCCCCGAGTCCTGTCAAACTGTGGCTCTCCAGTCCCTTTTGGTTGTCCTCGGTTCTCTCATGTCCTAGGCCTTGGGTGCCTCTGGGTGGACATCTTTCGGTGGGGTTCTTCCATTATCATGCTGAGCTCCTCCATCCTTCTTCCCCGGCATTGCTTCCTGTTGTTGGCTTCCACTTGGCTCTGGTTCTGTAAGAACATAAGAAGAGCCCTACTGGATCGGACAAATGGTCCATCTAGTCTAGCATCCTGTCTCACTCAGTGGCCAACCAGTTCCTCTGGAAAGCCAACAACAGGGCAGAGAGGCTGAGACCTTCCCCTGAGAAGAACAACAGAGGAGCCCTGCTGGATCAGACCAGAGTTCCATCTAGTCCAGATCCTGTCTCACACAGTGGTCAACCAGTTTCTCTGGAGGGCCAACAACAGGGCAGAGAGGCTGAGGCCTTCCCGTGAGAAGAACAACAGAGGAGCCCTGCTGGATCAGACCAGAGGTCCATCTAGTCCAGATCCTGTCTCACACAGTGGTCAACCAGTTTCTCTGGAGGGCCAACAACATGGCAGAGGGGCTGAGACCTTCCCCTGAGAAGAACATCAGAAGAGCCCTGCTGGGTCAGACCAATGAGGGTCCACCCAGTCCAGCATCCTATCTCATACAGTGGCCAACCAGTTCCTCTGGAGGGCCAGCAACAGGGCAGAGAGGCTGAGGCCTTCCCCTGAGAAGAACATCAGAAGAGCCCTGCTGGATCAGACCAGTGAAGGTCCATCTAGTCCAGCATCCTGTCTCACACAGTGGCCAACCAGTTCCTCTGGCGGGCCAACAAGAGAGCACAGAGGCAGGTACCTCCCCATGGTGCTGCCTGTTTGCTCTGGGATGGAGAGGGTTAGTGCCTCTGAATGTGAAGATTCCCATCAGTCGCCATGCCTAGCTGGCATATGGTGTATGCTGCCCAGCCTCCCCCCACTGGCCCATCACTACCGTTTGAAGGTAACAGCAATCAGGTCTGGCCCTACAATACCATCATCAGTGGCACATTAACTCTAGCCCAGCCATCTTTACTTCCAGCAAAGCTGACTGAAGCACCCCATCACCACTGGACTCGATGGGGTGGCCTGACCATCCACTCATTTTTTCTCAAGAGGGTGGTTCAGTTACACCATCTCCTTTCAGTTGTTCCCCAGTTTCAGTTATTCATGAACAAGGGACCCTTAGCTGACACTGTCAAGTTCTCAGTCACATGTTTGTGATTCTTTTTGAAACACAGACATCCTTATAATGGAAGGTAAACCCGCTCCGTCAGTTGCAGACCCTGAGCTTTAAATTCCTAAATCAAGTTTTCCCACCCCAAACTTTTTATTTTTGGACATAACCACATATTCAACATTACATCTTTTCATTTCTTTTAAGATATATCAATTTCTCTTTTCTCCTCCCCCCCCTTCTTGTGGCTTCCCGCAATGCTTCCCCCCCCCTCCCATTTGCCATTCTACCATCAAATTACATTTTCACTATCAGATTTCCAGGTAACATTATGTTCTATTATTCAATCACTTTCTTTTACCAAATCTGCTCTTAATAGTTATCAAAGCAAAGTAGATTATTTTTAACATCCCAATTAGTTTCCATATATTCTTTAAAGTCTGTCCATTCTACAAAAAATTATTCGTCTTCTTTATTGTTAAGTTTCTTTGTCAGCTTGTCCATTTCAGCCATAAAAAGCATTTTTTGTATCCATTCCCATTTCTCTGGCACTCTGTCCTGTTTCCAAGATTGTGCATATGTCATTCTAGCATTAGTAATCAGATACCATAACAATGTCTTTTTTGTTACATTTACTTCCTCCCTCTTAAGCCCTAAATGTAATACTTCCGGCTCTTTCCTAAATGTACATTTCAGGATTTTCGAAATTCCTTAATCAAGTTTTGAGTTGGGTCTGGGGTTCTTGTATTCATAGAATTGTTGAATCCTAGACTCACAGAGTTGGAAGGGGCCATACAGGCCATGTGATCCCACCCCTTTCTCAGTGCAGAATCAGCCTAGAGTATCCCTAACAAGTTTTTGTCCTAAAGTTTCAGGTGTTCCCACTAAAGGGGATGGGTTATTGTGACAATTAAGGCTTTGATTATGTCTCTAAGCAGGTGTGTGTGTGAGAGGGAGAGCCACCATTGTGTCGTGGTTAAGAGCAGTGGACTCTGATCTGGAGAAGATAAGCATATGGAGCAGAGGTCCATCAGTGGCTATTAGCCACAAGGTATAGATAGGGGCTCTGGGGCAAGGGATGTTCTGTCTTCTTGGTGCTTGGGGGGGGGGGTCAACAGTGGGAGGGCTTCTAATGTCCTGACCCGACTGGTGGACCTCCTGATGGCACCTGGTATTTCTGGCCACTGTGTGATACAGAGTGTTGGACTGGATGGGCCTTTGGCCTGATCCAACATTGGTGTCTCTTATGTTCTTATGTTTAAGGTCATCCAACAGCTGCAAGTGGAGGAGTGGGAAATCAAACCCGGTTCTCCCAGATAAGAGTCCGCACACTTAACCACTACACCAGACTGAACCATTATAACCAGGGATCAATGCAAGGTATTGTGTCATGAGCTAAACTCTGATAAAACCAGGGATGAGATCCGAGTGTGGAAAGGACCTTATTGTGGTTTGCCAGAAGTAGTTTGGACTTTTGCTTAAAGGTTGCAGGAATGGCCTTGTGCTGCATTAGGGGAGGGGGACGGTCATCTCTTGGCTCAATAGGTGCCTTGTTCATGTCTTGCTAACTGAAGAAGGTGGCTTAATTGAATCAATTAAATGTTTAAATAGGCTTGCCAGTCCCCCAGTCTTGGGGGGATTCCCTGCCCACCATGGTCCTGTCCCCCGCTGCTGCTGTGACTTTTTTTTTAAGTGACATCACATTAAATCTGGGGGAAACTTGGAAGTGACCGAGGGTAGCTCAAGAAATCACTGGGGCTTTCATACCATTTAACTGTATAAGCATATTTAATGGCACGATGTAGATCAGCTGCTTAGATAGACTGATTCAATCTTTGCCGTTGACTCATATCCTCATTTTAAGGTGTGTGGCGCAAACAGCAGGTGGTCAATGTGCCTTCCAGGGACAGCATCCAAGTACCCATTAATACTGACAAACAAGTCTGTTTGTCCCATTGGGCACCTGATCCAAATGGCTACTGACAACCGAAGAGTTCCTTCCTCTAGAAGGCCATATCCGAGTTTGGTCCTGTAGTATCTTTGATGTGGGGAGAGAGACGTGGATTCCTGGGCTTTTGATCTCATTGTGAGTATGTTCCGATAGCTTTAGAAAGATCTGCACATTTAGCTGAAGGACCTTAAAATCTAATGGCTCCAAAATACATGGGCGTTCCTGCATCTCTGACGAACAGGAACACTTTCATGACTGAAGAATGGATAAATGTATGGAGCAGAGGTCCACCAGTGGCTGTTAGCCACAACGTGTATGTATGGGGAAGTGATGCTCTGTATTCTTGCTGCTTTGGGGAGACAACGGTGGGAAGTATTTTGGAGTTCTGGCCCTGCTGGTGGACCTCCTGATGGCCCCTGGGTTTTGGCTACTGTGTGACACCGAGTGCTGGACTGGATGGGCCATTGGCCTGATCCAACATGATTTCTCTTATGTTCTTATTTCTGAGACAGTGATGCTCTATATTCTTGGTGCTTGGGGGGCTAGAGTGGGAGGGCTTCTGGAGTTCTGGCCTCACTGGTGGACCTCCTGATGGCACCTGGGTTTTGGCCACTGTATGACGCAGAGTGTTGTACCAGATAGGTTCATTGGCCTGATCCAGCATGGTTTCTCTCATGTCCTTATGTTCTTAAAAGTAATTTGCTTGTTATATTGTTTTGGGATACAATGTTAGGGCATGGTTTCTTTCTTCCTTCCCCCCCCCCCCTTTTTGTCCTCTAGGTGATGAAGCATGCATAAATATAGGGGAAATCTCTTTTTCTGCCTTCAGAGGATGGGGACATGATGGCAACAACTCTGATCAAAGCAAGGGTATAAAAGTAGGTAACAAATCTGATTAAAACGAGAATGCAAAAGATCTGTCACTTCTGGAAGTGATGTATTGAAAAACATGATGTCACTGTTTGTTGTGGTTTTCCTCAAAAGGCTTCTTTTGTTCCCTCTAGAATTATGACAGGAACCAGGACGTGCGGGCTGGGCATTCCCCATCCTTTTTTTTTTAATTTCTTTTTTATTGTTTCCACACAATAAAACATAACATCACCTACAGACCACCACCAACATACCCACAACATACAACATAAAACAAAACAAATTTTTCCATTTTCCAACAACACAGAGCTGTTAACCAATCATGTAAGGTAATTAGATAAATATGCAATTTCTGTTCTCATCCGCATTTTCCACCTTGTGTTGAGCAATACCATTAGATTTAATTTTCTTTGGAATACATATGTTGCCTTAATTTGATTCCCATTTCATATTAACAATATAGTATTATAGCCCATACTAGCTTAGTGTGTTTTTCCTTATCGTCACCTCACCTAGTGTTAGCTAGCTGTATTTTTCCTAATCAATGGCTTACACATTATTAGCTCTGATCTATTTAAACTCTATATTTCTGGTATGGAAGAAGGATTTAATCCATAAAGTTTTCTATACTTCTAGACCAGAAATCTTCTGCTTTAAACCACCA